TCATACCCCAATTGATGGACACTTCCTTGGTTTCCAGTACTTTGTTACAATGAAAAGAGCTGCTATAAGTTATTTGTGTAAATATGGATCCATTTTCCTATGTCTTTGATTGCTTTGGGTATAGAAACCTAGAAGTAGTATTTCTGGGTCAAAGGGTATTCACAGTTTATTGACTTTTTGGTTATAGTTCTAAATTGCTTTCCAGAATGGCTGGATAAATTCAGTTTCACGAATAGAGAATTACTACGCCTGTTTCCATCAGTCCCCCAAACATTTGTCATTTTTTAAAAATTGTCTTTGCTGATCTGATAGGTATGAATAGAAACCTCAGAGCACCTTTCATTTTCTTTCTTAAAGTATTAACAATTTGGAGCATTTTTTCATATGTTTGTTGATTGTTTGGATTTCTTTCTTTGAAAACTGCCTGTTCATATTCTTTGACCATTTATCAATTGGAGAATAGCTCTTGTTCTTATAAACTTTGATTTATTACTTGTACATCTTAGAAATGAGACTTTCATCAGAGAAACCTGCTACAAAAATCCCCCTCTCCACCCCAGTTAACTGGGGATTTTATACCTGAAGAGTTTTTGCATATATACTCCTTTGTGTTTGTACTTTGTAGGGAGAGATGTACAGAAATGCTACAATTCTGTCATGATTGATTGTCAACCAGGCTTTTAGAGATTTGAAAACTTTTAATCTTCCCACCAGTTTTGGTGGTCCAGCTCTGGAATGCCATAAATAATATCTTATCCTGTGCCATAAATAATATCTTATCCTGTGCAACATGTCTCTGGTTCCCTGGTCCTATCATGATGCCTAAAAGACTCCTATAGCTCTCCTTATCCCTCCGTGGCTCTGTTAGCCTTGTATTTTAAGATAACTCTCCTTCAGCCCTTCCTATGATCAGGACAGGGAACTATGAACGTATAAAATATGTTGACTAGCACAGAACCACTATAAAATAGGAGTAAGCTATTAACAATATTCCTTGCCCAAGCATGCTACTCTCACTGGTTAACAAGCAATTTTGTTGGATGTGGGATCATAATGCAGAGCTCTATGGGGCCCCAGAAATTATCTTGAAAGATAGTAGTTGTGGACATCTACATAATATGCTGCGCTCCAGAGAGGTAGTGAGACATAGCGGACATTGGGATAGTTTGGGAACTAGAAGACCTGCATTCAAGTCCACCCTTAGCTGTGTGATACCTTGAGCAAGTCACTTAACCTTTCAGGGATTTACAGGTAGATGTCTCTCTTAAGGACCATGCCTTAACCTCAACTCACTCTGGCTCTCATTGATTGGCCAATAGTAGGTCCCAAGCCAAGCCCCACTTGGTCATTGTTTTTGGGCCCTGATTGGCTCAGAGTAAATGTAAATAGCCATTGTTTCTGTTTTGGCCAGAAACACTGAGCTCAGATTGACATTTTTTTGTTCCTTTGTTTGTTTGTTGACTAGGTAAAGAGGCCATTCTTTGCCTCATTTCTTATCCAGCTTTAATCACTGAATGGGTGCTGCCTCAGTCAAACTGAGACCTGTTAAAGACCTTAGCTTAAAAAGGCCAACCTCTCCCACTGCATCCTGGGTCATTTCCAGTCATCCTGACTGCTATCTGGCCACTGGACACAGACAGCTCTGGAGGAGAAAGTGAGGCTGGTGACTTTGCACTGCCCTCCCTTACTTAAATCCAATTCACTTGGGTGTACTGGCATCACCTCCTGATGTCATGGTCCTCTTCCCAAGATGGACAAATAACAATAAGGGTGCCTAGTTAACAGTCTTATCTCCACTAGTTGGCAATAGATGGATAGAACATTTGACTTGGAGTCAAGAAGTCCCAAGTTCAAAACTAGACTCGACACTTGCTAGCTGTGTGACCCTGTGCCAATCAATCACTTAACATCTCTCTCTCCTTCAGTTTCAGCTATAAAATGGGGATAATAATAGCACCTACCTCCAAGGATTGTTGTGAGGATCAAGTGAAATAATATTTGTGAGGCACCTTGCAACCTTAAAGTCCTGTATAAATGCTAAGGTGTTTGCTATTATTATCAAGTGTAACAGACTTGGGATAGTCATTTTTTCTCTTTTTTTTCCTTTATAGTCTAATTTATAGCACAGTCTTTTACAGTGAAATTGAATATTTAAAAGAACTTGAATCCTTAATTTATGGGTGCAGTAATTGAAGATGCTTACTTCATGAAAGCTTGAATAAAAGAGATGGGGGTTCTCTCTAGACATAAAGGTATATCCTTTACATTCCTACTTACTTTATAATTATATGTTCCTATTCCAGGGTCAATGAATTTGTTTTTTTTTAAAAAAAACATATTTTGATAAAATATTTGATTGAGAAAATAAAAATATTTAACTATATTTCAATATAACTGGTTTCCCTTATAGTCCTATGTATTTAAATTTATGCATTTAAAAACATGATTCTGAGAAGAGGTCTACAGGCTTCCCCAGACTGAAGGGTCCCTGATCCATGATAAAAGGTTAGGAACCCTGGCCTTAGGCATAGACTATAGTTATTTCCCTATCTCTTATTTCATGTTGTAACAAATATTCATCCCTCTTTCTACCAGACTGAATACTGACTACTAAGATTAACCATTGGAAGAGTCCATGCCAATTAGCTAACTGCCCGTCTTTCTTTTACTTTAAACAAGTAGGCCTAGAGGGCCTACTTTGTCTCTTTAACAATGTTCACACAGAGAGGTACAATCAGTTTGTAAGTGAATTTTTGATTTTTCAGGACATGGAACAATACTGAGATTTCTCTCATGAACCTTTTGAGAACTTCCTTTTTCATTGAGCTTAAGAATTATTTCAGCACTGTGGCAAAGCCCCGTTTCTGAGAACAACATGCCAAGATACTTTTACCAACATTGAGGAGGGTGTTGAGAGGTACAGATTTTCTTTTTTTCCTAATCAACAGGGCTGACACTGAGCACTTGAAGCTTTCCTGAGCAGGAAGCTTATGTAGGGGAACACTGCTCTCCAGAAAGGCATAGCCCACTGGGTATTGTGTGTCAAAAAACAACCCAGTGTGTTTAGAGCTTTTCAAAAACCAGCATTTTTCATGTTGACATGTTATAAGGGGAAACAAGGCCATGGGTCCAAGTCCATCGTTGATTTATCTTAGATCTAAAATGAGCACTGTGGTCTTGATAACATAACCATTCCTGTCTTCTTCCAAAAGACAGATGATGACAATGTTCATATGGGGAATAAAAAAAGTAGACATGAACATGGCAGAGATTGTGATCCATCACCAAAATGGTCAAAAAAACCAAACAACAAAGTAAAAAACAAAGGTTAAGCTTAAAATATAGATTGTATTGGCATCTATGTAGTGCAACTGTAAAATTCAGGGTGTCCCAAAATTCTTAGTGCAGTTGTAAGCTATTGAAGCTTACAACTGAACTAAGACTTTGGGGAAATGTTTCACAGAATCTTTCAGGTCACTGGATACATGCTTTTACATACCCCATAAGAATTCTTGTTCACATTCAGGTTGTTTGATACAGCTGCTGAAGTTTCCTTCCAACTCAGAGATTTGGGGATTCTGGGATGCCATTAATGCAAAATTCTTTCATATAGCTCTTGGGTGGGGTTGTAAGTACTAACTAAAAGCAAGACACTATAAAGAAAATAAAACCCAAGATAGATGCCAAGGGGAAGTCAGGGAGTGGGACAGGACTGAAGGTTCCTTGAAATGGAAGTGGGAAAGTACCCAAGAGAAACTTCTCCAAGGTTACCATTTTGCCTCAGGCCACAGTGAACTCTTCTTCAGTGTGGAAAAGCAGCCAATCATTGAAGCTGTTCAAGTACAAATGATCAGTATCAGAAATAATCTGCCCTCCCAAGCCATTTAATGAAATTGGATAGTTCTCAGAGGAACTCATTCAACAAATATTTAATAAATGACTGTTATTTGCAATGCACTGTGTTCAGTGCTGGGGTAGTAGAAAGATAAAAATGAAAGTATCCCTGCCTTCAAGGAGCTATCAATCAAGCCTGGAGCTAGAAATCCATTATTTAATGGTGAAGAACATCAAAATCAATGGATTAAAAATGCGAGGTTTGAGCCAGTGTGCAGACTTGTAATGTAGATATGCAACTGCTTTAGTCATTTTTTAATTATTGTTGTTCAGTCATTCAGTTGTGTCTATCTCTTTGGGACCCATGGACTATACTGTCCATGGGGTTTTCTTGACAAAGATACTGGAGGCGTTTGCCATTTTCTTTTCCAGGAGATTAAGTCAAACAAAGGTTAAGTGACTTGCTCAGGGTCACACAGCTAATAAATGTCTGAGGCTGGATTTGACCTAATGTCTTTCTGATTGCAGACCCAACACTCTATCCATGAGCCATGTAGCTGCCTCCTTTCTTAATTATTGCATGTCAGGTATTTGTGTAATTGAATGTGGTTAACAGTACAGCACCTAGCACAGTGCATTGCACACAGTAGGCATTTAATAAAAGTTGGTAGAATCATAATAGAGTTAAATTGATCCATGCTGCTTGGTTGTCATTTCAAAAAATTATAATAAAAAAAGGAAAAAAAATGATGATGACACTAGTCATTGCTTTTTGACAGTTAGGAAAGCCAGTGTCCTTCTCTACTAAGCTGATGGAAGAAGAAAAACTATATGTTTTTCATGAAAACCCTGAGTGGAGACTTTCATTTGTAAAGTCATCCATCACCTCTGTAAATTGATCATTTTTAGATTTCAACATCTCCACTGACCACTAATGAAAGTAGGAGAAATAGCATTCTGGAGGCTTTCCATTAAGCTGTCTTATAGAGAACAGATGAATTATGATTTTTTGGGGTTGTTTTTGTTTTCCAGGGCACACAGTAGAGGCCTATTCCAACTTAGACTCCTTTAAAGAAAATTCCATTTTGCCTTCAGCTCCGTCACGGAAAAGACACACTCAAATTCCTGTCCCCATACCCCCTGGCTCTGCCAAATGAAGCACTAACCTGTCAGACCAGCAGCTTCTGCAGACAAGAAGGCACTCCAAGACAGGAGGAAAAACAGGCCCGTCTCCAGCATGGGGAACTCACACAGCTTTGTGAATTTGGTCAAGTGATAAAGATGTGTTAAGGAAAATAACAACTCATTGACCTTACAGACACATCTGACCCAGCACTATAGATAGACACCTTGTGGGAGTGAAAAGAGCTTCAGAGACCAAAGCAGAGAATCTGAGTTCAATTCTCATATCTCTTATTTGCTACCTTGGTGCATGTCATTTCTCTTTGGTTGGCCTCAGTTTCCCTATCTCTAAAATAAGGCAGTGGGATTACATGATACCTAAGGTCCTTTTTGGCTCAAAATCAATTATCAGTGCCTCCTGGCAGGTTGGAGCAAGAGAAGAAGCAAAGTGTTTCTCAGTCATTTTATTCATATACCTTCTCTCCCTAGAAAGTTTAAGTAAATTCCAGTGATTCCTTATTAAATCAAATATAAACACTGCCAGCACTTAAAGTCTTTCATAGCTTGACTACAACCTTCCTTTCTAGTCATAAAACTAGGTCCCAATTATTGTGGATAATGAATCCCATGTAATACGTTACATTATTTGAATTTGTACTGCACATTTCTACCAGTCTTGAACCAATTACCATATTTCACGTAATCGTAATTTCAAATAATGAGAATTTGAAAACATGCATCCACTTCACATATTCATTATCCTCACCAATCAGACCTAGCTGTATTATACATCACTCTATTTCCCATATGCTTCAATCTACCCAAGCTGGCTTTTTTGCTGTTTCTTGCATATGGTATTACATCTCCCATCTTTTTGGCTTTGCCCAAGCTGTCCCTGATGCCTGGAATGCACTTCCTCTTGACTCTGTTTCTTCAAACATCAGCTCAAACACTATTTTCTACATGAGGAATTTCTGGATTACTCAGCTATTTGTTACCAGGTCCCTCAATATAAGGGTGGGATGATTTCCTCAACCCTACCCTATATACACTAAGTGATAACGATATCCAGTTAATCAATTTGTAGGCCTTAAACTACAGGTGAAAAATTCCTTCTGACTGTAGAGATATTGCATAAGAATCCTATTTGGATAGGCCAAGAAAATCTGGCCAACCCTCAGGACATGTCCACAAATGATCAAACTAGTTAGATCACATGTGTTTAAAATTGTAGCAAGCATGGCATCTCAGTCTTGTGGAAGAGAAAGAAGATATCAAGGAAGGCCATTGGCTCTAAAGGTATTTTGGAGCAGAAGAACTGGGCTGAGGGAAGTCCCTAGGAATGTTTGGCTCTTTCTTCTGATGCCTTTCTATTCATAGATGCCATAATATATGCTGCTATTTTGAATCTCAAAAGTTTCTAGTAAACTAAATTTCGCTTCAACCACAAAGAGACCAGCCTGGGTTAACTAGAGAGAAATATAAACATTAAGTTATGCAGAGAATCCAAACTCTGTCTAGACATTAAACATTTTCCTAACTGGAGGCCCAGACCAGTAGTGACTGAGCTTATAACCTTTAGCCTAAAATAAACTTCTTAAAGCAGAAATGGACCTTAAGGGTCATTATGTTGCCCTAGGCTTAAACCAAGTTTAATTAAACAGGCTATTATTGATCTATACATCTGTAGAATGAATGTTTCTCGAGTGTAGTAACTACTTAAACTTTATTTATTTATTTTTTTGGATCATCAGTGCCTAGCATAGTGCCTAGAACATATTGTGTACTTAATACATGCTTGTTGATGGGAATTGATACAGAAATGCTTGGGGATCTTAAAGAATTGTAAAAAAGCAGGCCCCCTGCAAGCCTTTGATGAGAATAAATGTTCTAGTGGAAAAAATTCTCTTACAAAAAAGGGGAAGAATGGTTTAGCCATGGGCAAGAATATAACCCCAAATTGAAAATTATCTCTGAGCTGATTTTCATCAGGAGAAATGGCCAGGGGAAAATGGAGGGCAGGAGGGGCAAATGAGGACGGTTAGGTTACTCTTCCATCAATGCTTGAGAAGTACCATTGCTCTAGAGATTATCATGCACAGCCTAGGGTTAGATCATTTAATAGATTCTTTTTTCTTTAAGAGGGAAATGAGGAACTATAATACTCAGTAATAAGGAAGTTGTCAATATCTTCTTAGAATAACTAGGATGCGGAAGATGTTTTGTTTTTGTTGTTTTCCTCTCCAATTCAGACAAGGTGCCTCTTGTCTGGGAGTCATTGACATTTTTTTTTTTTGGCCAGGGAGACGTTTAATTTCTAGTCTCTAGATTGTCAGTGAGATAGAGAGTGCATGACTGGAGCCTGCCAATGAATGGGAAGCGATGCCATGACTAAGAGCATATGATATCTCTGAAGGCTTACATTATAGCTAGTCCAAGGTCAGATAGCAGTACAGTGGGAGGCTGCCTGTTGTATTTGTTTGGATGCCAGAGTGTTAAGTCAGGGAGACTTAAGTAAAAATTCTACTAATAACGTAAATATGGCCAAGTCCCTTAACCTCTCTCCACCTCAGTTTCCTTATCTGTAAAATGGGGCTAATATTAGTACCTTCCTTATAGGGCTATTGTGAAGATCAAATAAGATTATATATGTAGAGCACTTTGTAAACCTTGAGGCATTATATAAATGTTGGTTATTATTATCATTATGATTTTTAATATTGGAAAAGGAGGCCAGATTGAGAATAAGGAGGCCAGATTGAGGATAAGGAGACTTTACAAGTGACTTCAGTGACTTGTCCAAGGTCATAAAGGTGGCGAGTATCAGATCTGGTTTCAAGTCCCATCTCAGGTGTGATGGTTTTGTGACTCTGGGCAATCACTAAATCTCTCTGAGCCTCTAAATATCCCTTGACTCCAAAATGGAAATCACATTTTCAGGACCAGCCTCATAGAGCGTCATGAGGAAAACACTTTGTTCACAGTAAAATGGAATATAAATGTGAGGCACAGTTTTTTAACGGATCTATGATCTCATCTCTGTAGGGAAGTTATAATCATGATTTAAGAAAATTGTATTGTTGTTGTCCAGTTGTTTTCAATCGCGTCCAACTCTTCATGACCCCATTTGAGGTTTTCTTAGCAAAGACACTACAGCGGTTTTCCATTTCCTTCTCCAGCTCACTTTACAGATGAGGAAACTGAGGCAAACAGGATCAAGTGACTTGCCAAGGGTCACATGACTAGTAAGGGTCTGAGGCCACATTTGAACTGTGGAAGATGAGACTTCCTGGCTGTAGAAATTACACGACTGGGTTTCTTCACAGTAGTTTTACAAAGCACCTTCACTGAAAGTTGAGAATTAGTGGCAAAAACAAAAGAAAACAAAAACAAAAACAAACAAAACCCAAACTTTTTTGTGGAAAGGAAAAAATTTGGGTTATCTTCAGTTTTTGGCTAAGACAAAATTTAGGAGTTATCCTGATCATGAATTAGCCATGTTTATTCCTTTGTAAGCAAGTATTGTGTGTGTGTGTGTGTGTGTGTGTGTGTGTGTGTGTGTGTGAGCATTTGTTCTGATAAAAGACTTTAGTCAAGCTGGTTTTTACAGCTCTTTGAGGCCCCCGAATGAGCTTGGCAGACAGTCTCCTTCATCTTGTGTGCTACGAAAGAAGAATTCTGCCTGGCATGAACAGACCCTGCTTAGAATATCAGCAGACACACACGAGGCAGAAGGGCGCCCTGCCATTCTGACCTTCTCAGAGGATGGCCCAGCTTTGGCCCAGACCCAGGGCCTGGATCGAGGACATGGTGGGACTAGAAAACACTTTGAACCTTCCTGTCCTTGACCCCGATTCTTGTCCTTAGAATCACCGGAATTGGAAGGGATCTTAAAAGTCATGTAGCTCGACACTTTCATTTCATAGAGACGAAAAATGAGTCTCACAAAGGTGAAGTGATTTGTCCAAGGTCACGCAGGGAATAAGTGGCAGAGTCAGGCTTTGACCCTGGCATCCTGACTCTAAATGCAAAGATTTTCTGTTGTCCCATACTGCCTGTCTGTCCAGGTCTTAGCACAGCCCCTTGGATAGAGTAGTTGCTTCATAAATGTCTGTTGAACTTGAAAGTCACCAATGACCTTATCAAATCTAATTGCTTCTTCTCTGTCCACATTCTCCTTGAACTCAATGAATTTGATGGTATCACCCTCTTTCCTCCTTCAGGAAAACCTATTTTCTCTTGGCTTCCCAGAAATTATAATAGCCTGGTTATTCTCTGTTCCTTCTCTAGTTTTCTGGCTAGTTCCTTTTCTCCCCCTTCTATCCCTTCCCTGGGAAGCTAGGCTGTACAGTGGATAGAGAACCAGACCTGGAGTGAGGGAGACTCATCTTTGTGAGTTCAAATCTAGCTTCAGACTTAGTAGCTATGTGACCCTGGCTAAGTCACTTGACCCTGTTTACCTCAGTTTACTCATACGTAAAATGAGTTGGAGAAGGAAATGACAAACCACTCCAGTATCTTTGCCAAGAAAACTCCAAATGGGGTCATGAAGAGTTGGATACAATTAAATGCATATGCATTGAGAGAGGTGTTTCCACACAGGGAGTACCCTACCCCAATGAAGTAACAGAATTGGTGTAATCCAATCGATATAAGCTATTTTTATACACTCCTCTTGGGTCTCCCTCCACCTCCTTTAATGAAGTGGCCCTGTCTTACATCTTCACTTTTTATCTCTTTGTGAATGAATTCCTAAAATTTTTCCCTCTAGAGCTGAGCTCTGAATTCCAGGAATCATCTCTTTCCACTTTCCATCTCTGTTCCTTTCTAAATTCATTTTCTGTAGCATGGTCAATAAACTCAAAATTGAACTCAAAACCTTGTCTTCAAACCTATTTCCCCCTCCCTTTTTTCTGTTCTCTTCACGTTAACCAAAATTCATTCTTTTTGCCTTGGTTCAAAATACTTCTGTGTTGTTTGATTCTTATCTCTCCTTCATTTACCTACAGCCCACCATCAAAAGCCTAGTGATTTTCTTCAAAATAGCTCTCTTTTCCATCCTGTCTTTTTCATTCATCTTGTCACTTCTTTAGCCTAGACGTTTATCCCATTGATCCTGGATTACTGAATAACCTAATTAGTTTCCACTTCCAGTCATTCCGCTTGTCCAGGATGGCATGGATCCCTTTAGCAGGCTGGTAAAGTCTATGGACTCCTCAGAATAATGTTTTTAAATGCAAAAAATGAAATACAGGTTTGCAAAGGAAAACAAATATATTAAACAGTTATCAAAATATTAAAAATTCTAATTTCATGGACCCTCCCTGATATCCATGGGCCCCAGGTTAACAACTCTCCCCCTAATCCATCTATCATGAAATCAATTATATTAAAAGCCTAGTCACTACCTGCTCCCTAGATCAAAAGCTCAAATAATTCTCCATAGCTTATGGAATAAAAGTGAGAGAGCTCTGCCTAGTGTTCAGAGGCCCTGTCTATCTCTATATCCTTATCTCTTCCTGTTTGCCAATCCTTCGCTCCAATCAGAATGGTACCCTCACCATTACCAGAATGTGCATAGTTCATTCTACTTTCATTTCTCTTTCCTTCTATCCCCCCATCCTTTTGCCCCTGAATTCCTGGTTTCAAAATCCTCCCCATCCTTCAGCAACCAGCTAAAAGCCTGTCTCACCTGGGAAATTGTCTCTGACCACTCCATTGTTCTTTTCTTTTTAGTCCTCTAATATGTATTTTGTGTGATACTCATCTCTCACTTAATTGTTTTCTGTCCCACATCATTTGCTAATTACTGTTTGAATGTCTGTCTTCTCTCATTTTTCAAGAGTTGGCTCCCCTTGAGGGCAGATTACTGTTTCTTGTAATTACTTCATATAATAGCATATTTTTAAAAATACTTAATTCAATTGAATTTGCTTCAACATGTAGTACTAGACTCCATTCCATAGTCCATAGACCAAGTAGAGACATTGACATATAAAATATGCCACATATACACATGGGGGTCTTTTGATTGGAGACTACCCTGAACGCCAGTGAGCAGTTCATACAATCTTCATAAGGAGATAGGGAGCTCAATTAATATAAAAGGTTAGTAGAGTATTGATATTTCCTGATTCATGCCTGCTTCTTAGTAAACCTTTGAACTCTTTGATATCAGGTACCCAACCTGTTATTGAAACTGGTAACAAAAACAACTTTCTTAGTTCCTTCTACAGAGACAACATGGTACAGGAGAAAGAAGACTGGATCTGGAGTCAGACAGAGTTTTTTTTGTTATTTAGTCATATCCAATGCTTTGTGACCCATTTGGGGTTTTCTTGGCAAAGATACTGGAGTGGTTTGTCATTTCCTTTTCCAGATTATTTTACAGATGAGGCAAACAGGGTTAAATGACTTGCCCAGAGTCACACAGCTGGTAAGTGTCTGAGACCAGATTTGAACTCAGGCCTTCCTGACTCCAGGTCAGGCACTCTGTACTCTGTGGCGCCACCTAGCTGCCCCTAGAGTCGGAAGACCTATATTCAATCCCAACTGTGAAGCTTACTCCCCTCTATGACCTTAAGCAAGTCATAGGATGTAGATATAGAGCTGGAAGGATCTTAAAGGTTATCTAGTCCAAAATCCATATTTTTCAGATAAGGAAATTGAAGCACAGAGGGGTTAAGTAACTAAGTAAAACCAGGATTTGAATTATAGCCTATGATTTTAAGTTTAGCCCAATTTCAACTACACGGAACTGTTTCCTCTTTTATAAAAGTGTGTGTGGGAACTCTATAGCCTCCCAGATCCCCTCAACTGCAAGTCTATGATCTTATTATCCTCAGAGAGGATGCTTTAGGCTATCCAGGGAGTTTTTCTGGGGTCAGATTGTTGCAAAAATATTTGGTCTCATCTTTGATTGGGATGATGGATAGAGGACTGGATTGAGAGTCAGGAAGACCTGAGCTCAGTTCCTTCCTCAGACATCTACTCACTGTGTGGGCAAGTCCACTAACCTTGTCATGCCTCAGTTTCCTCACCTATAAAATGGGAATAATAATAGTACCTACCTCCCAGGGTTGTTGTAAGGATCAAATTGGATAATGTTTGTAAAGTGCTTTGCCAGTTATTATTATTAAATCCACAACCAAAGTCACAGCATTGCATTTGGTTCTCAGAGCACACCGTCAGGACCCATTGTCCATCTTTGTTGACATACGATGGATTTGGATTTTGCTCTTACATCTCAAAATTCTTCCAGTCTACAGAGTTTTTTTTTAATAAGTTGAAACAAAATAAAAAGAAAGCCAAATAGGCAACCACAAAGGATATCAGAGCTGTGACGACAGCATAGGCAGACCCCAGAGCAAACGATCCGGCAAAGATTCCGAGAAAGTTCCCAACAGATTGGAAGAACGCAGCAGCGTCAAAAGCGTTTGGGTTGTCCTTGGGACTATAAATAGATATAGAACTGAAAAGACGAAAAAGGAGAATGAGTTAGCACAATCACACAGGTGCCAACACCCAGGTCAGCCCCTTAGTGAGCTCCTGTTGGAAGAATGAATGCTTTCTTCCAACAAGGTGCTGACTGCAATGGGTTAGAACAGGAGTGGGGAACCTGGGCCTTGAGGTCACAAGTGGCCCCCTAGGTCCTCAAGGGTGGCCCTTTGATTCGGATTCAGTCCAAGGGCCACCCTTGCGGACCTAGGGGGCCACCTGTGGCCTCGAAGCTGCAGGTTCCCACCCCTGGTTTGGAAGAACTTCCTGATAAGATAGAGATCTGAGCAAAGCTGGCCTTTTTTAGCAGCCTGATCTCAGAGCCTCCCCATTCTGCTGCCAGTCAGTAAACATTTTTATATCGGAAGCATCGTAAAGAATATCGTTTCCGAGCAAACTAGACATTAAAACATGGTAGGTGTATAAGGAATCTGCAAAGAAGATGGATAACGGTGAATTATTTATTGGCCATATGTCTTTGGTGCTGTTATATATTCACAAATGTTCCTGGTTTAAAAAAGTGCACTTTTATGGCTTATGCACAAATGGCTATACAAATCACGGTGTGTACAGAATCTTCAGCTGTGATCTTGTCGTAAACCACAAGGCATTTCTCTTCACCAGCGTAACCCTTCGGAAACAGAACTCTGGAAATGTCAACTGTAGCACAATATTAACCCCTGGGGAGAAAAAAAGCCCACATTTTCCCACAGAAACAAACTGCTGCAGCTGCTAGAGGTTATCTTTTATGTCCCAGTTCTGGCAGATGCCATCAGATTTATTTCCACTAAGGAAATCATTCCACCAGTGGGAATGCTCTTTACTTCCATAGCTTTCAGGATGCCATGTTTACTATTTTCCACCAGTGCCATCAAAACAAGGATATTCATTTCAAGTACAAGCCATTTCCTACCTTAGGAAATTTTCAGGACCACCATGTTAAAATTAATGGAGGTGCCAAGATTAGATGCTTCCCAAAAAATTCATTAAGTCACACTTCTGGTTTTTGTGGCTCTCCTTCTTTGAATATCTGGGACCTTTAAAACTCATTAGGATTCAAAGCAAGAGATTTTACAGGATGTTTGTAACAGGCTGAAGTAAAAGGGATCTCTGACACAAATCTAAGCTTAGACTTTACAAAGAGGTAGGTGAAATATTTTTGACTCTGATGATTTGTTTTCTAACCTGTGGTATCTTTCATCTGGAGACTAGTTAAATGCAGCACTAGAAAGCAGAGCCTAATTCTCTGACAGGAAGCCCAGTGCATAACAGAGGTTGTTAGAAATATGCTTAGTTTTTATCTCACGACTTTTAAGCCCCAGAACTAGGCCAAACACTTTTCTCTTTGATCCTATAATTGGATAATGAAGAAGAATGTGGATATTGAGTGTAACCCTTGAAATTTATGAGAGAAAAGTACTACCTTTGATGTGCCTTCACCCACCACCCCCCTTTCTATAAAGTATTATGCTTTGCAGAAAACCAGGTTTAGGCCTATTGTATCTGCTGGTAACAAGGAATGCTATAAAGTCTCATTGCCCAGTGCCCAAGGCTTATTTATACGTTTGAGATACTGGATTCGACTGAGATTAGTAAACTTCTCCATTCCAATGTGGTAATGATAAATATAATGATAAAACATTCTGTTTGCATTCTGCCCTCCAGGGAGGCTTTTCACATATTAACACAGCTTTGCAAATAATTTTCCAATATCATTGCATTGGCAAAGATGCCTTTTGATGCACAGAATATGCATTCATCTCAATTCAAACAGGAAAGAGCGTTCATTCACTGGCTGTAAAGTCAGAGTTCAAATCCCATCTTCGACACTGCCTGCGTACTGTTGGACAAAACATTCAGTTTCCTCATGTGCAAAATAAGGGACTGACCAGATAGGTAGTCACTTCTAGCTTTTGTTCTATGGTCCCCAAATCCAACGTTCATCAATTCAATTTATTAAGTGTTTATTATATGTAAGATACTATGCTAGGTGCTAGACTTTTTTTTTTTAAAGAGTTATTTCCTGCCCTTAAAGGACATATATTCTACTGGGAGGTGGGAGTGTGGCATCACAACATGTTTAGTGATAAGCAAATATAAAATAAATATGAATGTTAGATTTTTTTTTTTGGCTCATTTGTATTGGTATGTGTGGGGTCGGGGAAGTTCAAATAACTGGGGGAATCAGGAAAGGCCTTATACAGGAGGGGCTGAGCTGAATCTTGTAGGGAATTATGGACTCCCAGAGGCAGAAGTTAAAGGGGAAAATATTTGTGACATGGGAGACAGCCTGAGCAAAGCCATGGAGTTGGGAAATGGTATGCTATATATAGATAGTCTAGTTTGACTATTACCTAGAGGATGAAAAAGGGAATAACACATAATCAGTCCAGAAAGGGAGGCTGGAGCCAGATTGAAGGTCCTGAAAGGTGAAACTGAAAAGTTTGAATTTCATCCTACAGGCAACAGGAAGCCACTGGAGATTCTTTAGAAGGGAAGGGTAATGGTCCGTGTGTGCTTTCGGAATATTAATTTGGCCTATGTTGAGGATGGATGAAAGAGAGGAGGGAAAGGTAGCAGAGAGGCCATTTAGGAAGCTTTTGCAAAAGCCCAGGTGAGGGATGATGAGGTCACAAATTAGGGGGGTGGCCATATGATTTTTAAAAAGGGCACGGACATGAGTCATGTTGTGGAGGTCAAATTGACAAGCACTGGATAATATGATATGAAAGGTGAGGCAGAATGAGGAGTTGAGGTTGATGTCAAGGTTGTGAGCCTGGGAGACTGGAAAGTTAGTGATGGTGTCCTTGATATAAATAGGAAAGTAAGCAACAGGGATGGATTTAGAGGGGAAAATAATGAATTCTGTTTTTGACATATTGATCTTGAGCTGCCTTTGGGCTATCCAGGTGGTTATAGCCCAGCATGCATTTAGTGATCTGGCACTGGAACTCTGGAGAGAGATGGGGGCTAGATATGGGGATTTGAGAGTTGTTGGAATAGACTTGACGGTTGAACCCATAGGAGCTGATGAGATCATCATAAGAAAGAAAATACATGTAAAGAGAAAAGAGAAGGGGGCCTGGGACAAAATCCTGGGTACAGGACATGGGATATAATCCACTAAAGCAGACAGAGAAAGACAAGTCAGAAAACTAGGAGGATAATCAGGAAAGAGCAAAGTCAGAAAAATCTAGGGAGAGAGAGAATTCAGGATGAGGGGGCTCATATTTTGAGCTGAAAGCTTTCACTAGGGAGGGGTCCTGATGGGCTTGACCACTGTAGAAGACAGTGGTTATATCTATATCTTCTCCTCTTCCTTCTTTCCCTTCCATTCTGCTCGCGCGCGCTCTCTCTCTCTCTCTCTCTCTCTCTCTCTCTCTCTCTCTCTCTGTCTCTGTCTCTCTGTCTCTCTCTCTGTCTCTCTCTCTGTCTGTCTCTGTCTCTCTGTCTCTGCCTCTCTCTCTGTCTCTCTCTCTGTCTCTCTGTCTCTCTCTGTCTCTCTCTCTCTGTCTCTGTCTCTCTGTCTCTCTGTCTCTCTCTGTCTCTGTCTCTCTCTCTGTCTCTCTATTTCTGTCTCTCTCTCTGTCTCTCTCTGTCTCTGTCTGTCTGTTTGTCTCCCTCTCTCTCTCTCTCTCTCTCTCTCTCTGTCTCTCTCTTTCTCTGCTTTGTCCTTTGGCAGTCCTGCGAAGCAGTCTATAGGTTGGGCTAGGAGAGTAGGGGAAGCCATGTGGCTTTTGCTGCAAGAAGTATGAGGACCTCTGTTGAGGGGAGAATGGGTTCAAAGATTTCATTAGAATGACAATTGCCTGAGGGGAATGCCTTCTGGATTTAACCTGGCCAGTTGCCATGGGAACTGCAGAAGTTGCCAAGTAACCTTTCTACATCTCTTTTTACTGTAGAGGCTTTGTTCTTTTAATTTCCAATTAGCCGAGTTTCCCATTAGGAAAAATGACTTTCATGATCCACATATAGTACCTCATTGCATTTTGAACCTTGAACCTGAATTGCTATATTGGCCTACTCTGGGTCTGGCTTACAATGGGGTATAAGCTTGTAGAGAGGTCAAGAAGGATGAAGATTTAGAAAAGGCCACTGGATGAAATAATCAAGAGATTATCATGAGATTATTTTCTTCTCTCTTGAGGCCAGAAAAGAAGATTAGAAACAGATGTTGTAGGAAATGCAACAGAGAGCAAAAAAGCCAAAATTGTTATACAACAATAGGGGCCCAAGTGATATTAGATGATGGAAATGTAGTGAGTCCGGTCAGCACAGTTGTGTGACTTTCTCCAAGAACATCCAATAGCCTGTAAGTAGGCACAGAGAATTTGGACAATCAAGACAACCAGAACTGGGAATTTAGAAAGGCATTAGCAGGATGTGAGAGACGCCAGGGTAGAGAATAATAGATATTTCAGCAGATTAGCTACAGAGTCAAGATTTCAAGGGGAAAAAAGTGAGTACAGGCTGAGTGGAATTGGGGGGCGGCTGTAAGAAAGACGTCATGATGAGGTTCAGGAGTATTGAGGCAGAGGGAGAGAGAGAAGGATAAGAGGTTATCGTCTGAGTGAGGAATTTCAGTGTTTTGTATCATGGAGGATGGTGAGGTTGAGGATATCAACTCCCTGATCTACTGCTTTGGTGGAGAGAAGGTAAAGGTCATGAAAGTTAAGCAGGTTGGTGTAACGGGTGTTGGAGCAGACAACATCACATCTCTTGAAATACTCAAGTGTGAGAGCAGGGTAGAAAAGAAGAATATGTTGAACTCCTTCAGAGTGAAGGACAAATAATTAGGTGGGGCTGGTAGAAAGCTGGAACCAGAATTTTGATAGAGAAAGATGGTTTGAATTTCAAAGTAAGAGAGTTTGCTGGACATTGAAGTCTGGAAGGGGCAAGAAAGGCAGGTGCTGTGACTTCTCTTATATTAGCATACCAGTGAGCAAAATATATGTATCCAGTAATGGAGAGACTGCCCAGAGATGCACTAGATCCATTGGTCTTTCTAGCCCTGTCCAGTTCCTTAACTGTTCATCCATTCCTCATCCCAAGCACCATTTTTTTTTCCTTCAGGAGTTGCACTGTAGACACTGGTTGCTAGGCTACAGAGCCCCAGAAGGGGCTAGATCTCCGATAGTGCTAAAGAGAGGTGACCTTTAGTTACTCGACCATGTAGATAGCTTTGCTGAAGAGCAAAGCCTCATCTCACTTGACCTGGGTACAGATGATTCCCCTCCTGTTGTTCTAGCCTGAAAATGTAGTTTGCTTCAGCTGCCAGGTATTCCTCCCTGCAACTGTGATACATCCTGGCTTGTAGGAAGATGAGTGGGAGTGGGACATAGTGTAAGAGCAAGCAGCTTCCTGGTGGGTCATTCAATCAAGAAGAAAGTATTGAGCTCTCACCATGTGCCAAGAACTATGTTAGGAGCAAATCTGGAGATAGAAAAGAACCACAGGGAGCAATTTCTTCCCTTGAGCTCTTATTCTATCTGGGGGTGGGGACTAATACTGCATGAGGCAATTATAAAACTGATAAATGCTGAACTTGTGATACTGACTATGTGTACAAGAATTGATCTCTTCTTTGTGCCCAGGATGGTGCATCGGTAAAAATTCACTTTATTAGGGTGGTGTGGTATAATGGAAAGACCGCTAGGTTTGGACTTAGAAGACCTGGCCC